ATAATAAACCCCTAAAAAGCGGTATTTGTCGACTCTCCAACGTCGAAAAACGACATACAAAAACAATCCCTGCTTGTAGTTTTCACCCGAATGCTAGAGACTACAGGTAGCTACCTAGGCTGTACACAAGTGACTGAAGCAACATTTTCACAAATATCAACAGAAAATAAGATAAAGTTGATAAGGAGACGGAATTACCTTTGATTTTCTGATAGAGCAACATCAGTGCAATACTGTCTCGAAACCACCCGATTTCACGAAACCTCACAACTTCACACGGTGGATTTTCGCAACATAGGACGGCAGGCAACTCGAATTCACCCATCACTACCACAATAAACCGCGTATTCCATTCGCTGAAGCTTCGGTGTCCTTGAAGTCGCTTAAATAAATGAAGAAGATGGTTCACAAAAAAATCCTCAAATTCATCTTGATCCGACTCTGTGACTAGAAAGAGCACTCTACTGGCCTGTGAGAAGAGTGTGGCGTATATTTTGTAAGGGTCGCGCCATAGGCCTTGTGGGATTAGGTCAGGTGTAGAGATGTGTGTCACTGACAGAGCGGGATTTTGATTCATCACGTGATTGGCCATGTGTCTCGCCAAATCGTCTGAATTGTAAAGCGCTTCAATCCGACCCTTTCGCCTCCATTGTCGATCCGTCGAAGCAGACTTCTCGATTTCACCAGCATAACACGAAACGGGTAGGATAAGGGCGTGAAAGTATGTACCGCGTCCCATTTCTGAGTTCTTTAGAAGTCCTGTATCTGAAAAACACCCGCATCTTGTGGTTTGCCTGTGATGGCAGACAATGCTCGTTCACCAATCGCAGGTGTGCAGGAGGACATGATCAGCTATTTGAGGTTATACGATTGGTTGTTGGTAGTCGGGTGTGCTAATCGAACTTGCTCGCAAGTGGTCTCACAGATGACGCAACGGCACGCGCCACAAAAGCGCTTAATGAGACTGTCTGTTGTGCACAGCAGGGGATGCACATCTCTTAGGTTGTCCGTGGCATGTTAGCTTGGTTATTACTGGTTAATTGAAAAGAAACACTGCACAACGCAGTGCTAACACAATAACACATTGCAAGTATCGATGTATTCCTGATGTAATTAGAAGTGGATCCAAGCACAAAGTGGTCTGACGTAAAACAGGCAGTGATGTGCCGATACTTGGCAGTCATGACGGGAGACCTCCACTCTACCAGATTTCGTGTCCTCGAATTTCCCGAACCTTGAGAACGCAAGGCTGTACAGGATCTTTTCAGAGTATCGTAATTTGTGTAAATTGAGGCCGTTGCCTTGACTACTATACGGCGTCCGTTGGCACAGTGATACCGGCAGCGTATGGACAATGAAGATGAGAGATATATTTTTTTATAATCAAGGCAAATAGGGTGGAGTCGAAGTGAGACAAGTCTACTCTTGTTACCCGACCTCAAAGTATGCCATCTGATTAATTTTGTAAAGTGTTCGGCCATTACAATGCGCATTGCGTCAGACGGAGGTTCTTGCCGTAGGCCTTTAGACGTTCTTTTTGTGCCACAACAGGTGAAAAAGAACTGCGCAAGTCGGCGATTTCCTAGTGGCGTTGCGCATCAAGAAGGTTTTACTGAGTTCGAATGCAGGTACCAACCCGTTTTCGATTAGGCTATTCTGGACGCACAACTTCTCGCCTAGTGCAGCACTGCCTCAAAGCAACACCTTTCACGCAGCATGGACCGCTGATATTTCCAGTTGTGGGCAGTCCTAGCACTTGACTGATGCAGCATTCGCACGATTATTTGTTCGAATAGGAGGTAGTTATATGTTACTGTTAGACTTCAAGCCGCCTCAAAGGACTCAGGACAAAACGCTTGCTTGAAACCTTTTGAGTAATAACAGAGATGAGACATTATTAACTGGAAACTGCCACCGAACATGATTGGATTTTTACCAAAAGTGGTGCGAAAGCATCCGAAGAGTTCATCAGTGGGCTAGAACCCTAGCACTTTTGTCATACATCCACAAGAAGCGATGAAATTTGTAAATGAATTTTTCGCTTACGTCTGTGAAGACGGATGACTAAAGTAGAAATGTTAAGAGCATGTTACAGTCCGTGTCCGACCTCATGAAATGTTAACCGAAATTGTACACTAATTTTTCGATTAAGAAGGATTACTTAGGCGGGGCTGTAATATTAATTATCACGCGGGCATAATCTGCTGATATTTCAGACTCGCCAAAATGTTGGTTTTTGAGTGCACTTCTTTGCAATCTCCTGCAAAAACAGCATTCTGTGAAAAATGGTCACTTATGTAGCATGCATTTTTCGCGATGATTTTCGATAGACTTATGAACTCAAGTGTAGAAAACATGCACAAAATATGCCCTCTTCCAATTATGTGGAAGAAAACTACGTCGTCTTCATAATTTGTGCTCTGAGGAATTACATATGTGGGTCTTGAAAAGTCTTCAAATTCTCGAGTACTTTGGAGCCAGATCAGCCGTTGAGTTAGCGCTTGGCGACTTCGGTCAGCAAGGTGTATGCTTTCCCCGTAAATAAAATCATATATTCCTCTAGGTATTTAAGAAGATGAAATGTATAATTCATATAATTTTTAACTTTATGCAGACTATGCTGCATATTTCATATGAGGCATTAAGAGGAAGCCAGGTATGATGATGTAGGAATGGTCTTAAAAATTCCACAATTAGAAACATTTTTAAAGCCAAAAGATACCCTTTCTTTTTGTATGAAATGTAAAGATGGCGTGATCTGCTATAAAATTAATAAGATAAGGCCCAGTTTTGCGCAGGTTTTCCACAAAATATACTTGCATTGATAAGGCCATAGAAAATAAATGTGGAAGATGTACGCTACTTGAGTAGTCACTTTTAACGAGTACGATTTATGCAGGAGGTTACAAAGAAAAGCATTCAAAAGCCAACGGTCTGGCGAGTCTGAAATATTGTAAGATTATGCCGCATCACAATCAGTATTACAATCCGACCTAAGTAACCCATCCTAGTCGAAAACGCATTTCGCGATGTCGCCTATCATTTTAGGAGATCGGTCACTCACTGCACCTTCACGGACAAATTTTCACACCACATATTTTTGCAGAAAGATTTTTTCTTACCCGACAAATTGATTTAGGTGGTCTTTTAAGCAAAAAATATTAAACAGTGCGTCCCATAGCTTCCGCAGAAAAAAATTCAAGATACCTGGGCGCGAATCTTCATCATATAGTGTTTCCGAAAAGCAGTTGCTGAGCAAGGAAAAGTCTTACTGCCCAAAGAAATTTGGCAGATGATTAATCTATCTGCCAGGACGCATTTTCTTCATAGCTTACGACCAAAAATTAAAATATATTAGTATTTGTTAGGAATTTTTCAGGTTACATATTGCAAGAAGGGCATTCTACTTCCTAAAAAACTTGTTCTAAGGCGGGAAACGTCATCACTAAGCACCGTAGACTGAAATAGGCATTTACCGCTTATGCATTTTCATCGGGAAATAGGAAGGTCACAAATTAGCCCTTCGGTCATTAAGCCATTGAATGAAATATTCAAGTCACAGACTTAAGCGCCAGCAACTTCGATCGGAATACTTAGTTATGCGATGGTAACGATGCACTCTGATTGTAGGACACAATGCGTTTGCTTCCGTTTTGCGTTAGCTCGCTGGCCATAGTTTCATTTAATTGATGCGAGCAAGTGTTACTTAGAATATCCATTTTAGGCCCAGTTTCGCTGCTATATCCTGAGCATACCAGAAGAGAGTTGCGTAGGTAAACCGACTTTAAGGAAAGGAATGATGCTAAAGTCACTGGTTATATATAGATGTATAGCATCTCTAGTTACACATATTTTAAACCATATTCAAACCATCTTCCTCTACCTCTTAGGTCGAGTTTTCTAGCCTTTCTTGACGGCTTTCTCAAAATATTTTAGTGAGGGTATCAGATCTCGAACTATTTCTTAAGGCAGTAGTTTTGCGTGTTGGGATCCACATTTAATGACATTCTTCCAAGTACTCAAATGCGAAGACTACTTTTTAATTCTGTTACTTTTGCAGTGTGCGCAATAGTCCGATTGATAAAAACGCCAGTCTCATACTAAAAAAATAAAAACATGTGTGCCTACTCACATAAACAAAGTACACATGCGTCCTTAATTTGCATTCGGCCGTGTATTCTTTTCAAATGGAGTTAGCGTCTTGTTCATTGCACATGCGCTTTTTGTGTCTAGCGTGACGTATGATTAAATGCTCGCGTAGCTGTGATACTCGTCGAGCTACGCAGGTGTCAAAGTTGAAAACAGGCGTTTCCTTCTGCCCTAGGAACTCTGCCTTAACGCCGCACATGCTGCCGCATTTGGAAAAGGAACAAATGGTGGAAATGTTGCCTTCCTGTGCATTTACGCCTTTACCTGCTCCTGTGGAGCAGGTTTTATTGCTCGTATGAGTCGGCGCCTATCACATAACAATACGAGAACACCTACCGCCATGGCTGAGGAAAGTTAAAGTTAAGAGCATACGACAGTTCGACCGTCGTTTCCGACGATGTCCACCGTGTGCTCTACCGCGAGCTGAGAGCAGGCATGGCGACTTGCGCGTGACATAGTTTATGATGATAGGAGACTTACGAAGCGTCTACTGCACTCCCCCCTACCCCACCTGCACCCGGTGTGAAGACAAAGTCAAGAAGATCGGAGGCGGGGGAGGGCGCAGGTGGATGGCAGGTCGAGTCCACACTTTGGCGCTCCACACCACCTGGTCCACATAGCAAATGACCAGGTTTTTGACCAACAACAACAACAAGGGAGATTGGTAGGGGTCCCAGTGTGCGCGACGTACGCGGGCAACCGAGTTTGCTACCACTCCCCGAAACGTTGGCATTTGTTATAGGGCGCAATCCGATAACGCCTGCCAGTGTGCGATATGGCGCCGGTGTTGATCCAACGCATCTACAACGTGGCCCGGTTAAGAGCACTAAACACACACACACACACACACACACACACACACACACGACAGTTTGAACTTCGTTTCGGATAAGGTCGACCTTATGATCCACAGCAGGTTGCAGCAGACACGGTGATCTGCGCGTGAATTATTTTAAAGTGATAGCAAACCTGCGCAGCGTCTACCGCTCTCTCCTTCTTTCCTAATCCCCACCTGGATCCGGTGTCATAACAGAGTCGATAAGACCGGAAGCGGGGGAGGCTGCAGGTGGCTGGTACAGCCGAAGCCACATTTGGGCGTGCCATAAAGGCGACATTAAAAAGGAGCCATTGTAGCCTGACTCTTAGACCACCAGACGACCACTCCAAATAAACACAGAACACTGGGCCATCTGCGACGTCCAAGGTATCCCGTCAGTTAGCAACCTTTCAAGACACGGTTTTTAGCGCACCAGGATAGCTTCAAGCGCGTTAGATTGTTTATAGTGAAGAGAATGCACTGAGTCATAGACGTCAGTCTCCCTTACAATTCTCAGGCCTCAGCCACTGTCCGAACCGGTCAGTTGGCTGATGTGGGAAATGGGAGCGGTGGCTGACATGTCCAGTGACCTTGGATGCGCGCGCAACATGCACGATCTGGCCCCGAACAAAAACACCAGGATTTCACACGACGGTGTTGAGCGGCGTACATCTCACATAAGAGAGAGAGAGAGTGCTGTAGGTCACGTTAAGAAGGAGATGTTCCAGTCTGGTTCCCAACCCACCAGTACTCCACTTCACGCAGCTGGACGGGCTGCGTGGACTGAGTTGGGGCGTCAGTCAGCCGCCTTACAAGCCACGGCGCCTGACGCGCCATGACAGTCTCAGATTCGGGTCACGCATGCAGCTGGGGAGCCGCATGGAGACGGAGTCAATACGCACACTTTCCATTTGCGCAGGAGATGGTATTTTGATGCTTGTGGTGGGTAATGTCGATGTGCGATGAGATGCTGGTGAGGGAGGACGTGATGGTGTGGCTCAGCCGGCAGTTCTCTACTGCAGGTTTTCGTGAAAGAGCATGTGGCCGAAGAGGATGATGCGGTGCATGAATGTGCGAGGGCAGTGTGGACAGTGGAGTCGGATTCGGTAGGTGTATGTGGATGCTTCGGGCACTGGTTCGTCAGTCTCTGTGCGATGGATTCTCAAGTGACCGTCCATGCCGATCTGTGAGGCGAAGGTGTGGTCGCAGTGAGGGCAGGTATGCACCAGGTCCTCACCACTAGTGTCGGCGATAATGGTGCTGGTGTCTTTTGGTGTGTCAGGATTGTGGGAAATGTTGATGTGCATGGCAGACACCACAGCGGCAGGCGTTGAGGCCTTGGAGAATGAGGAAGAAGAAGAAGAAGAAGAAGAAGAAGAAGAAGAAGAAGAAGAAGAAGAAGAAGGGACGAAGATGGAAGTGATGGTTCGGGAGGGGAGCCAGCGTTAGTTGACAGTGTAGGGGACGAGGGAGAAGTGAACGGAGAATTGATGGTTGGTGCAGTCCGAGTGCCGCAGTTGGTCCGAAGATGTACAACAAGTCAAGTTAACGTTCGGAATGTCCACTGACGCAGTGGGCACGTTGAGGACGGCTGGGCCTTCGCATTGCGACGTGGGCGCAGCTGAGATTTGTGCGCTTCTCGTTTGGCTTTCGCGGTGGCAATGCAGTTTGCCTCGTAGATCGCTCCGCCTGTCTTCACTGTCCTCCTCGAGGTCAGTCGGTCTGGAAAGAGGCCTTGCCAGTTGCCGGATTGGTCTGCGGACGCTTCAGTTAGGTCTTCAGGGCATCCTTGTTCGACGGATTTGGCCTCCTTGGCGGCGGGGCCCCGTGGCGACATCTCCATTGAAGAGCCTTTTGGGTGGCGTACCAGCGCAGTTGCAGTTGCCTCAGCGTGGCGTGAATGCTGAGAATTTCTGTCCGCTCTTGCACGTCGCTGTTGGGGATCAGGTCCTGCCATCCCAGTTTCAGCATTCGTGGAAGACAACTGAGGTGGAAGTGGTCGAGTCTGTGTGCCTGCTTTACGTACACAATTTAAGTCTATGCTCCATACAGCAACGTCAGGAGGATGACTGCCTTGTACATTTTCAGCTTTTTGTTGAGATGGAGACCGTGACGGTTCCACACGGTGCTTGCAGACAGCCGAAGGCCTGGCTGGCTTTTGAAATTCGGCGGGCAACTTTGTTGTAGATTTTAGTGCTGTGGGAGGGGATGCGGCTCAGATACATTACGTTGTCCACCAACTGCAATTGGATGCCGCTCACGCTGATTTGCGGCGCATTGTGGAGGGATGTGTTGGGTGGCGGTTGGTGCATGAAAACCGTCTTCTCCGTGTTGATGATCGGATCGAAGTTCTCGCAGGCGGCCGCGAAGAGACTTTGTTCCAAGTGATTATTCAGATTACTTAGACGGATGAGAGCGAAAATTTTCCCGGCGATGTTCAGCAAGGAGATGCCTCCGTGGTTGTCGCATAGCTGGCGGTTTCGTTTCCGCATGAATAGATGCACGATTTTAGAATCCTTGAAATCCTGCGCGATTCTCCTTGACGCCACATCATCTGGAGGAGCGCCGCCAGTTGATCCGTGAGTTGGGGCTACCATGCTTGTAGATCTCAGCAGGGATCTCGTCGAATCCGGGTGCTTTCACGCTGTAAAGTTGCCGGACGGCCCTGATGGGCGGTAGGTTAAGGTCAGCATTGGTCTCCAACTGCGGCAGACAGGCGATGGCAGCGTTAGAGATGGTGAAGGCGCGGTTGAGGACGCCTCTGAAGTGTTAGACTCATCGCTGTATTGCCAATAGAAGGGAAGAGACGAGTCCCAGGAAGTAGTCTTGAAGAAGCAGACACGATCGCCGGGACAAGAGCTTTATTCGCCTGACGTTTCGGATTCCTACTCGAATCCATCATCAGAGACAAAAAGCAGAAACGGGTGGTTGCTGCACAAGGGGCTGCGGTATTTATAGGATGCAGTAGCCATGCTACCGCATACCTATGAACATTCACGACTCCCCCCTTCATCCGGGATCGTCGAACTTGGTGTGATCACTGCTTGCTGGCCAACATTCGAGTCGATAATTGCTGCAATTTCATCACGTGCGTTGGATGTTGGCGTGATGATTGCTCCACCATCTGACGCACCGACCCCGGTGTTGGGAAAAGTGTTCACCTCTGCGCTCCCCGCATGGCTTGTTACTCCGCCTAGGCGAAATTTTAGCACGCAGTATGGAGTGGGAAGCTCGTTGCACTTGTTGATGGACTGGGGGCCAGTAAACCATGATTCCAGTAGCTCCCGGCTCACGCGGTTGTCACCTCTTGCGAGAATTTCGGCCTCATCGAATTTGAATGTGTGGCCGGATCTCGTCGAATGGGCCGCAACTTGAGAGCTGGCGTCATTTCTGCGCACCGCTGCCGCGTGTTCGGCCATTCTCGTTCGGAGCTGTCTTCCGGTTTCTCCGACGTAGTTGCTTTGTCCGCAACTGCACCAGATCCGATAAACGACTCCAGACGTTTCTAGCCGTGGCAGTGGGTCTTTCGGTTTCATGACCAGACGCCTGATGGTTGCCTCCGGTCTGTGTGCCACTCCAACCCCAAGTGGTGCGAGAAGGCGGCCGACAGTTTCCGAAACGTTCTTGACATACGGAAGTGCCCGCCAAGATTTGGTGTCCGTGCGGTTAGGCCTTTCGTCCCTTTTGCGTATGCACCGGTTGACGAAGTTGCGCGGGTAGCCATTGGCTTTGAAGACCCGTCGGAGGTATTGTAGTTCGGCAATTTTGTCTTCCGGCTCACTGCAGAGCGTCCTTACACAACTGCGTTTGTGGCTGATTGGGTGATTACTGTTGAAGTTCAGTACTTGCATCGTATTTGTCGCTTTCCTGAACACTTTGGTTTTTAGTTTACCACAATCTTTGCGGCATACGAGGACATCAAGGAAGGCCAGCTGGTTGTTCTCCTCCTCCTCCATCGTAAATTGAATGTCCGGGAAGACGGCGTTGAGATGTTCTTGGAATGTCAACACCTGATCCCGTTCGATGACGACGAAGATGTCATCCACATACCGGGCCCAGAATTTCGGTCTGTGGTGTTGGAAGACCAGCGATTCTAACCGTTGCAGGATCGCCTCGGCGATGAATCCCGAAACGAATCCCGAATCCCTTCACCTGTTCGTAGATTGTCCCGTTGAACGTGAAGTACGTCCTGAGACAGAGCTTCAGGAGCTGAAGGATTTGGGCGTGTCCAAGACGGTTATCCGTTTCATCGTATTTGCTTTGTAGTAGCAGCTCAATTGTCTCGATCGCCAGGTCCTGGGGAATAGAAGTAAAAGGGATGTAACATCAAAAGATACCATGTCCTCATTTGGATGGATGCTTACACCTTTGAGTTTCTCCGGGAATTGTGCTGACGAAGAGACCGCGGTGTCTGACTCAGTGGTCAGGAACTTGAGACGCCGGAACAGCCACTTAGCCAGTCCGTACGTTGGAGTCCTTTTGAGCGACACGATGGGTCGGAGAGGAGCGCCGGCTTTGTGCACCTCTGTGTATTCGCAGATCCGGTTTCTGTATAGATGTCTCGACAATAATGTGTTACCGAAATGTGTTTCATACAAGCCACCGGTTAACACGGATTTGGCGAGACGAGCAGTATTTCAGCACGACAGAAGGATGATCCGAGTGCTCCTCCAAGATTGCCCCGCGAGACTTCGTAAGTACCGTCAAAGGATTGACCAAGAAAAGACCAGATGCTGTGAGTTCATGGGTGAGATCGGTACGAATCTGCTCCTGCGGAGGATAGCTGAACAAGCCCGCGAACAGAGCATGATACGCGACGCAGCACTGGAGAACAAATTTCGAAAGCTGCCCAATCCAACGTCGCCCAGAAACGACAAACGGGTGCACAACCTGTCATCAAAGGAGCTGACGAAGGATCAGATGCAGGTTTTACGGCACGAAGCTTCATTTAACACGGCTGACGCCAAACCTGTTAACATGATTGCAGCAGTAGAATCAATCCTTTGTCAGACGGAGGCAACGGAGGAGACTAAGAGTCTCATCCGACACCAAGTGTCGTCTCTCCTGATGACCCACAGGCCGCGGGAAGTGCTTTCCAAGGTCGAACGTAATGCGCTTAGAGAACTCAAGGCCGACGAAGACCTGGTCATCGTGCCAGCGGACAAAGGACGCGCCACAGTTGTACTGGACAGGACAGACTAACTTCAAAAAGCCAAAGGTTTACTGGAGGACCGACAGTTCTATGTCCCATGTGCAACGAACACTTTAAAGGCGCTGACACGCGAAATTAATGCTACGTTGTTGGCCTTGGAGCTCAGCTATTTGTTCCTAGCAGATTTCGAGAGTTGATGACTTATATAGCACAGTCGAATACTTTCTCCATTGTCACAGTAATGCGGCATTACCAATCAGTGTGTTTCGGGTACCAACTACCACCGGAAAGTCAATTTTGGCAAAATTGGAATATAATCTGAGAACAAAGTGCTCAGGAAAGCGACAAATACGATGCAAGTACTGAACTTCAACAGTAATCACCCAATCAGCCACAAACGCAGTTGTGTAAGGACGCTCTGCAGTGAGCCGGAAGACAAAATTGCCGAACTACAATACCTCCGACGGGTCTTCAAAGCCAATGGCTACCCGCGCAACTTCGTCAACCGGTGCATACGCAAAAGGGACGAAAGGCCTAACCGCACGGACACCAAATCTTGGCGGGCACTTCCGTATGTCAAGAACGTTTCGGAAACTGTCGGCCGCCTTCTCGCACCACTTGGGGTTGGAGTGGCACACAGACCGGAGGCAACCATCAGGCGTCTGGTCATGAAACCGAAAGACCCACTGCCACGGCTAGAAACGTCTGGAGTCGTTTATCGGATCTGGTGCAGTTGCGGACAAAGCAACTACGTCGGAGAAACCGGAAGACAGCTCCGAACGAGAATGGCCGAACACGCGGCAGCGGTGCGCAGAAATGACGCCAGCTCTCAAGTTGCGGCCCATTCGACGAGATCCGGCCACACATTCAAATTCGATGAGGCCGAAATTCTCGCAAGAGGTGACAACCGCGTGAGCCGGGAGCTACTGGAATCATGGTTTACTGGCCCCCAGTCCATCAACAAGTGCAACGAGCTTCCCACTCCATACTGCGTGCTAAAATTTCGCCTAGGCGGAGTAACAAGCCATGCGGGGAGCGCAGAGGTGAACACTTTTCCCAACACCGGGGTCGGTGCGTCAGATGGTGGAGCAATCATCACGCCAACATCCAACGCACGTGATGAAATTGCAGCAATTATCGACTCGAATGTTGGCCAGCAAGCAGTGATCACACCAAGTTCGACGATCCCGGATGAAGGGGGGAGTCGTGAATGTTCATAGGTATGCGGTAGCATGGCTACTGCATCCTATAAATACCGCAGCCCCTTGTGCAGCAACCACCCGTTTCTGCTTTTTGTCTCTGATGATGGATTCGAGTAGGAATCCGAAACGTCAGGCGAATAAAGCTCTTGTCCCGGCGATCGTGTCTGCTTCTTCATCGCTGTATATTTTGTCTTCTCAAAGAGGAGCGTACTGCCGTCGGCGTTAGGAAGAATTGTAATCCCTTTGGTTGGCGGACCGTAGACGGTTTTGATCGCGGAAAAGTATTCCTTCCAGTCGTTGCGTTCCGCGTACGCTCGAATCTCCTCAGACTTTCGAGCCGTCTAGGCGTCCTGCATCTCACGCAGTCGCTGTTGCACAAGACAGCGGATACGGTAGATTGTCGCTTTGTTATCATCGGTAGGGTTACTGACGTCGGCTTTACGCAGACCATTCTTTTCGGCCGTCAGATTGCTGATGGCGGCGTGGTTGTCATAAAACCAGTCCTGGTATTTGTGACGTGCACGAGCGAGGACGGCCGGGGTTGTCGCCTGGACTGTATCCTGCATATGACACCACCGGTTCTCCACGAAGGCGTTCTCGTCAGTGAAGGCAGCGACTGGAATGTTGTCTAGCCTTTGGGCTAGCTCATTGCTGAAATGGACATGGTGAGCATGCGGACAACAAGACAATATTCAGCTTGCCTGGGGTCGCCTACCTTGGGGTCTTCTGCGAAGCTGTAAGCAAATACGCATCTTCGAGATGACGAGCCGATGATCAGTCCACCCATCGGCACCCGGAATCGCCTTTGTCACCATAATGTCCCGCAAGTCTTGCCTCCGGACGAGGAAATAGTCCAGCAGGTGCCATTTACGCGACCGACGATGCATCAAAGTGAGCTCCTTTCGCATCGGGTGGCGGAAGAAGGTGTTGGTCAGGATGAGCTGGTGTTCGCCGCAGGTTCGTTGAAAGAACAGGCCGTTGTTATTGGAGCCGTCGAGACCGTGGGGACCCAGAACTCCTCTCCAGGCAACATATTCTGGGCAGACGAGGAGGTTGAAGTCACAGGAGTCAATCAGCTTATCCGCCTTCGACGCATTCCCCAGGAAGGCGTGCAGGTCCTCGTAGAATTTGTCTTTTGCGGCGTCAGGGCTGGTCATCGGCAGAGCGTAGACGCTGATTATGTTTACGAATTCGCCTCGCGAAGAGGCAGGCGGAGGCTCACCAGACGATCGTTGATGCTCTGCGGCAGACATGGCAGTTGTTTCGTGCTGTCGTTCCGGATGGTAAAGGCGACACCGCATCTCGTCGCTCTGCCCTGGGGCGACCGCTCCAGATGAAGATGTAGCCGGCACCCACCTCCAGTTGGCCTTGTTCGGAGAACCGGGTCTCGCCGAGTGCAGCGATGTCCACCTTATAGCGCGTCAGTTCACGAACCACTAGCGCTGTCCTCGGTCCCGGTCATTTGTTCCTCGGGTTTTCTAAAAGAGAACGAACATTCCAGGCTGTCAGAATGAGCGTACTGACCGGGCCAGTCCGACGAGGGGGCGGCGGGAACGAGGAGGCGGTGGAGGAGGCGGTGGAGGAGGCGGTGGAGGAGGAGGAGGAGGAGGAGGGAGAGTGCTGTTTCGATTGTGTGTTTAACGTCGGCGACCACGGTCAGCCTGCAGACGGCGTGGTTCCCCAGAATTTGTTTAGGGCACCTTTTCTAGCCCGTTCTTCCCCGCGGGGGTGAGCGGTGTTTTCTCTAAATAAGGCTGCTCAGTTGTGTCAGGCGGCTGTTGAACTCCACTATGAATGACGTCCTCGTATAGTGGGAAAATGACCCGAGTTAGCCTGGGACAGCCTTCAACATCGCCGTAAACCTGTGACCTACGGTGTACCAGACGGAGTTTCGTCTCGACGATGCCGATGCGAAGATCCATCCGGCCAACAAAGTCGGCAGTACCGTGCGTGTGGAGATGCTCACAGATAGTCTCGCCTGGTTTAGCCCGCAGGTAGAGGCGGTTACCGGGGTGTGGCCGCTAGTCAGAGCCTAGTTTCGGCACATACGGGAGTTAGGTGGCAGCAAATGGACGTTAGGCGTAGTCTACACCTGCAATCAAGTAAGCTACCTACTACATCCATAACGTGAAACCATCGCTGGACATCCCTACACCCCTAGGAGCACACTCAGATACATCCTTGCACACAGTCGATCCTGTGCATCGTGTGGTCACACCTAACTACCCCAAGCGACTGCGTCAGCGCCTACTAGCAACGGCAGAAACGACTGCCACCAGGTTACAGAGACCGGTCCTGTGCGCTCAGAAGAACCTCTCTCACGTTTCGCGTCTACCGTAGGCAAGGTTCGATTAATTGTATGCACGTCTGCGCACCCCCGTTCCCCCTCTTCCCCCTGTGACACGGCTCTACCTAAACTTCACTGTCCTTTACTGCCTCCTCTCTCTCCCTTCTCCCCTCTATTCTCACACCCCGTTTGTATGAGAAGACGAACCTTAATCGATTGCTCTTATGGCTCACACGTTTCAGTTTGTACCTCGATCCCATGTAAATGTGCAGGCCCGATGAGAATTTATCGAAGGCACGCCTATGCTCGCCAAATGATCTTCTGAACTACCTACAATGACAAGGGGGAATGAAATAGTGTCATCAGCCAATCGTGTTCGTCCAGGCTCTAAATAAGCATACAGTTGAAAGGGGTCAGTAGTCTCGTTTTCGTATTATCGATTGTCGAACCAACGGCCGAGGAGCCATCAGTAACAACCTGAAATATTGAGGGGTATCTTGCTGGAACGGTTGGTTGCAAGAGGAGGAGTGCGCACTGTCTGGTTTGCTTTGCAATGCTCGAAAAGGTTTTCTTACAAAAGGGAATAGCTGACCTTCGTCTAGGGCCTTCCACATAGATAAAAAAAGACAAATTTCATATTCTTATGATTCTGTCGACATAACCGCTCCGACTGCTGATAAGTCGTAGCCAAATTACTTCCTGATGGGTTTGCCAACGGTCCGGAAACAAAAAGGGACTATAATACCATATCTAGCGATCAGGTCAAAAAGTAGATTTCCCTCGAGTATCCGTCTAAATATTTTTCATGACAGTTGAAAAACCTATTTAAAGGGCTCCGTGGTTGAGTATTTGACTCTAAAAGTCCTGACTGGTTTGATCTCTAAGTACTCAAGAATACGGGTTTTTTGTGGTTAACGATGGGGTATGTCGAAAATGCTAATTTAACTTTTAGGGGCTATTTACTAAAGTGCCCGAATTATTTAGAGAGTTTACAGGCCATTCAAACAATTCGGAACTATGATGAGATATCAGAGGATTTCGCACTTGGGCTGTAAAAGGAGGCATAATGAAGTACGCAGCATACGCTGGAATCCAGATTGCTTATTTTGCTTGGATTTGTGGAAATTCGACTCTTAAATCCAGCTGTTTCAGTGGGAATTATCTGCGAAAATTAATACACACCCTAATATCATATATTTAGATTGCTTAAAAATTAAACCTTCCTACTTATTAAGCGTTAACCTCCAGAAGTTATTTTAGGCTTGCCATTTTGACTTTGTCATTATTTGGCCACAATCACTCACCAGACATCCTCAATGAGGACGGTGAACAGTAGCAAGATCGCTAAAGACTGCATCCTACCCTTAGATCATGCCTGATAGTTTGATTGGAAGACCTCCGCTAAAATCCATAGGTTGCAGAACGTAAAAGATTATCCAGGGATCACTGCCTCCAGGACCTATACTGACTATACCTGATACAGGCAGTGTCATGCATTTCATTGGCGCGGGCCCATTTGAGGACTGCCTGCTATTTCTGAAAACAATGCTTGCATTCGATCTCCCAACTCGTTTTCGTAGATTCGAAGATAAGGTTGTTCATTTTGGTGGACAACTTTTCAGTCTGGATAAGGGATTCATACTGGAAGTCTGACATGGCAGCAGTCAAACATTTCGCGCCCAAACCGTTTGCTCAAAACTGTACAATAGGAGGACAAGGAAAACAAAACTTGCCTGACCCGGAACTGCTGGCGACAAAGCAGTAAGTGGTGTGCGCTTTCTGCACACAATGTCCTACGTTCGTGCGTTAAAGTGTACCTTTCGGCTATTAGCCTCTGGCTGCGAGAAATTTTCAAAACAAAGCGATGTTGGCGACCATTAGTGAACCACGCCGATGCATACCCTTTTTAATACCATTTTTTGTCTGGCGCGAACATCGGGGTCTACAAATCATTGTGCTATTTTTGCCGAGGGAAACCTTTCATTGGGGAATGTAACTTCAACGGACTAGTCTTTTTGTGTGAAGCAGCTGTTTGAAAGAACGAGGTGGCCTCTTTTTCCTTTGTAACATGAATACCCATTTATACCAGGCCTTTCTACTCATTAACAAAGCTTTTTCTGTAGATAAAATGTTTGCTGTCGTAAGCTTTTTACTGCATGAACGTTGAAATTTCGTCTCCTCAGATACGTTTGGCTATCCCTGAAAATACGTGGAAATGCAAACTTCAAAATGAACCAGTTGTTTCGTGACGCCTAGTAGAGCCTTTAATTACTTTGTATTTCCGCATTTCTTATACTCGGCTTTTTTTGATCACATGCACAGTTGGCTAAAAAGTTCGACCACGCAGCCTATACCATAACGTTGATCGTAAAGGAGATGACTGGGTCGCAGATCCAGCTCTATTTTTGCCTTTGTGACGCGCAGTTAAAATAAATTTAGAGTATAATGCCTGTTGTGAAGGGACCATTGTACGCACAGACCGCATGACAGGGTGAGGAATCATTTTGCAACATAGCTGGTTACTTTCTGCTTGCTGTAGGATCTCTTTCTCTTTTACTCGTCATCAGGCACTTGGCATTAAAGGTGGTTTTGAAAGTTATTCAAGAATGCCAGTAAACGTTAAAACATTTACGTCAACGCGTGCACCACAAGGAGTAACGGCTGCTTTTCTTCAGCACATCAGCTGTTGGAGAGCATGGTTAAACCGTTTTTTCGGACTACGTATATGAGCTAAAAATAAGTCAGCATCTGGTCGTCAAAATCAGACGGAGTAATCTATCAACTGTACACGGCAATTTCCTTGATCATCATAAAGTCGCCAACCTTTTGTTCTCCCCCTTACCACTTCCAACGATGCCGCCAAGACTAAAAGTGTTAGACGCCATGTGAAATGCCGTTTCAGACTACATGTGGTGATGCAAATTTGTTCGCGTTCCACACGTGGGGAAACAGATTTATGGTTGCCGAGTTTGCCTTTGTCTCCATAAATGTTAGCTTCAAACAGGAGCTGCGTAGGGCTGGAAGTCGACGCAGTCAGCACCAAGTTATATTTCTTGTGTGGTGAAAGTTATGTACTGCCACAGGGACTCATGGTGTTCAAGCTTGTTCACCAGGGAAAATTAAGGCACACAAGGCCTACCTGATCAGACTAACCCGGCAATATATTCTTTGACGAATAAGCAGCTTCTCCGAATAGTAAGGGCCAGGCAAGTTACAGAAGAGAGTACCGTGGTTACCGTAGTCTTAATGTTTACGAATTCTGAACCTAGAATGCTTTTTAACGAACAATTAAAGGAAGTTATAAACAAAATCGAATTGTTAAAACCAGGTCAAAGAACAGTCTTATTTAGAGACTGTGAGAGCCGCTATTTCTCATTGCCTTCATTGATAACCACAACTATTTTTCTACTGTTATTTTATATTGATATTATTCGACGCCCCTAAGAAAGAGTGCAAACAAGCACGTGTAGATTAAATGCAGCATAGAAGGAGGTTTTGTTTTGAACTTGCATGTCAGAGCCCTCAATAAACCCACCTCCTCTGTCCACAATCTTTTCAATTCTGTAAACTTGACAAACGGATTGTTAGCATGGAACTTCCGTTTCTTTAGTAGAATGTTCTGTCCATTAGTGTCATTTTAATCCAGACAGACAGCAGAATATACAAGGCGCTTTTTTAGAACTGGGAGATTGACTAAAAAGGCTTTTTAGATACAAAGCTCAGTGGACTGGATCGTTAGGCAAGTTGCCCGTCCCTCCGCATTCTCAGTCTGGCCACCCACTGCGAGATACGAAAAACAAAGACTTGTTATTTTTCTCAGTGACCGGCCTATTCGGCGGACATCTGAGGCCTGTAACAATGACGACACCGATGAGATAATGAGCATTGTAAATCAAGAATTTGTAAACCCTTTTAAAATAACATTTTTTAAACTGACTGAGACATCTCTCTGTAGTGGTTTCGAAAAAGAAAAGAAACGTTGCTCAAAACGTTTTAGGAGCATTTTTTTGCATT